GTCGGTGGGAAACCGAGGCACGGTGACTTACACAAGCTGAGCCGCCGGCTCACATTTCCCCTGGAGCGTCTCCCTGCTCCCACCGCGACGCTCAGGCACACCCTTGCAGCAGCCCCTGCCCTGCCACCGCTGAGGCAGCCAAGCGGCTGATGCTCAGTTCTACCCGCCAAATAATTTCTTCCAGCTCTTTCTGCCTTTACCTCTTCACAGGGCTGATTTACATGAAGCTCTTTGAATGAAGAAGCAGATGCATTGCTCTTCATTACCACGTGCAGACCCTTACTTACGACCAGAGTACCCAACCAATAATACAGACTAATACAGGAAACCAGAACAAAGTTAGAGAAATCAAGTAAGTACGCTTTTTTTTTACTACTACTGCCTTGCTAATCCCCCCCAAAACCGGCACGATATAAAAAAAAAATCGATCTTTGGGGAAATGGTAAGTAGCACAGAATTAAGACAACATGCAAAATCCTGACTTCACTGAATGAAATGAGATTTCTGTCATTAACTTCAATGAAGCCGGTGTTTCAAAAGTGTCTTGACAACAACTTCGGTACATGTTTCTTACATGACTTCTCTCTAATGGAATTAAATAGTTCCCAAGATGAGCTTTCTTCCATTCCCACTGTAATCAGTGTTGTATTTGCTGTGGTTTTCAGTGAAAGCCCAATTGGGCCCTAGGCTCGAAAATAAAAATCATCTCGAAGTAAATGGGTTGCTGTGTATCTGACCTCTTCTCTCATTGGTGTGAAAACGGCGCGGGGATGAAACCTCAGATCATTGCTGCTATTTGTGTGAAGAGAGGTTGTTGGTTTTTTTCCTACCAGAAGATTAATAGGTAGCAAGTTCAATATCGTTAGGTATTTAGTTTTCCTTAATTGTTCCAGGAACTCATCTACAGAGAGCAATGCATCACATCTGGAGGTAGCAATTTACCTTTCAGAAATCAACAAAATCTGCACGTTCCTCCTGGGTTTAGGAAAAAGGAGCTCACACAGCTACTGCTGCTACTCCAGTCCCTTGGATAACCCACGGCTTCAGGGGATTCTCAGCGATCCGCAATATCACCACCAATATTTCCTTCGGAATTCACCGAGTTTTCTTCAATATCTTCTGTCTAGATAAGCTAAACTTTCTCAATACGTGTGAAAGCACATCCGAGAAATCTTGCAATAGGCTTGTAGCTTTTAATTTTCTTTTAAGCCTGAAGGTTCATACTGGTTAATAATTTGGTGGATCCTGATACTTCTGCAGCCCGGAGAACAGACAACAGATGGTCCAGCCTCGGCATTAAGCATTATTCCTTCTGTACCTTTCAGGAACTTGAGAGATTCTTGTTTTAGAAATATTTTCTCTCTCCTTCTTGTCTGGGCACTGGTCATCTGCTTCACCCACTTTTCCATTACGCTTCAAGAAAGTGGATGCATATGGTAGAAAGAAAGACCCTATTCCATGGATTAGAATTTTTATTATTTGCACTCTTTTTGTAATATCTTCGTAATATTCCTCAAATTTTCATTAATTCCTTCTCCACAGAAAAGGAGAGTGGGTAGGTAGGGTTTCCTCCATCAGTTCATTGACCCTACACAGCCACAGGGTGCTGCCACGTAGATACGATCAAGGATCCATGCAGAGAGCTGACCATGTCTGTACCAACTGAATTCTGAGGAAACTCCAGAATTGGTCCACCAAAGTGTAAAAAATGATTACTCAATGCTATCATTCAGGGAAAAAAAATGCATTAACTCTCATACTACAACCACAGTCATTGGCTTGTTTACTGGAATAAATGTTGGCTTTTTGTCCGGTATCTTGACAGACCGTATTCCCCGGCACAGAGGACAGGCAGCGGCGCTGCGGTGCTCAGCATCTCCCCGGTTTGCACTGCCCACTGGGGCTTATCCTCTTTTTCACACGATATGAAGGAGCTCGCCGAAAGGCTGGAGCTCGCTGGCACTTTCAGGTTTGTCCTCTCCTGCGTTCTGGACCAGAAGAGAAGTCTGGCGAGCAGGAGTGGCGTGTGGACTTCTACTGCAGGTGGTTGGTGCTGCATGAAAAGAGGAGGCGAAAACCATGCTGCCTGTTTCTGCAGGCAACTGTCCTCGTTATGGCAATTACCCAGCAGTTCCCCACGAGGGGTTTCAGCTGTTTGCTGATCTGTCACTTGGCCGAGGGAGGCCAAGCCAGGCGGTGGCATGGCACGAGCAGGGCTGGGTGGGGGCCCGCAGCTCCCACCAGCCGTCCCCACGGGACTGATCCGAGCTGCCCCAACCCCTCCAGGCTCCCAGCACCGCAGGTGCGGTGATGCTGCAGTAACATCACACCGAGTCATTTCCGTATCATTTGACACCGGGGATATCTGGAACCAGGTCACTCTCCACTACCACCGAGAGCCTGTGCAAAATGCCACCTCGCTTTGGCTGGGACATAAAGCTGAGGATGCTTCTGTTTACGGCAAACTGTCTTCTCAAACCTACAGCTGCACCTCTGCCCCTAGTTTCCAAGATTAACTTTTTACTCCCAAATTAAGGAAAATACACATCTGTGCCCTGCAGATACTCGCAGATATGGGTGTGCACAAAGAGGCTGCAGTACGAGTCGCATTAAGGCTCCACGCACAAGGCATATATAGACTACATAATTTATTTAGGTGTAATGCCATTTCGAACTCGGAAACAATTACTTGCAGTATCACGAGATCGTTCAAACACAGTAAGACTGAAAGAAAAACTAAAAGCAAAATACAGCAAAGAAAAGGTATGCTTTCACGTGAAATGGGAAACCAGAGCAGACCCAAGAGAGCAGCAGAGCGGGATGTCCAGGAGGCTGGAGCTGCAGGGGAGACGGGTCTCACCCTTGGATGGGTCCTACTACACCCTGAGGACAACATCCCCAACGCTGTGCAAGCACTGGGGACAGAAACACATCCTGCTACCTCCCAACAATAGGAAGCAAAAGCATACAAAGATTTTAAAGCAAAGAAGACTAGCTAGAAATGGCTCCTAAAATTAAGAGTGACTGCAGATTGTTTTGGATCAGGTGAGGGTAGGGTTACACATGTGATCTTCTGCACTTATCTGTGCTGGTTATTGCAAGTGAAATCAGTAAGTCACTCATCGACTCACTAAAGAGTTACGTATGTGAACGTTCAGTGCCTCACTAAGTTTACTTTCAAGGCTTGGCCTGTAAACCTTCACCAGTGAGCAGCTCCGTATCCTTTCAGTTTGTTCCACATAGAATTAAACATGCGTAACTGTGCTTTAAGCAAGGCAAAGCAGCCTCCCCTTGTCGCCTCTCCCAGTCCACGCTCAGCATGCGAAACTTCGCACAGGAAACGTCCCCAAAACTCAAACAATGCGGACGACGACGGGCAAGCGCAGGGGCCCCTCCGGCAGCGGAGCAAACCTCACCTCCCTCCGGGCTCACGCCGGCCCTGTTAGCAGAGGGGGCAAAGCAGAGCAGCTCCCCCC